TAAAAAAAAACACTTACACAGACAGTGTTGGAATTGGAACATCTACCACAAACTGCAGTTATAATAATCCTTCTCATTGACGTCTTGTAGCACTTGACAGTATTTTACTGTGAAGTGACTTTATATTGCAGGCAAACAAGGCAAACAATTTGCACACAGTACATCCCACAAAGAGCCACGAAATGAATGACCCATTTGATCTGGAGGATTGTTAGTCAAACTGAGACTGAATCCACAAATTATTTTGAAATGATCTGCTATTCGGCAGATAATAATAGTAATAATAAAACTTTCGCCCTCCATGCGGTGAAAGGCCAAAATAATAATTCTTGCATTTGATACAGCGCCTTATCACATCTTTGAGGCATCTCAAGCCACTTCACAGAATATACTGCAAAGTGAATTGACTGTATATTTTGTGGGTGAAACGCAGCAGCCGTCCACAAACAGTCATGGTTTGAGTGACCAAGTTATTATTTTTGAGGGGATTATTACCCTGGAAAGCGAATATAAAATATAAAATAGTAAAGGGTATGAGAGGAGCAAGCCAGAAAGTGTATTTAGCTTAGGTGGCTCATGTGGGGGAAAGCAACAGGGCAAACTTGATTGGTTAAATGTCCTGCTTCTGTATTTAACATTGAGTGAAACTGGGGCCAGGGGGAAGTGAAGGAGAAACCGAGGAATTACTGCCAACAGAATCTGTCCTCATCCTTTGTGTAGCGGGAGAACAAGGAGGAGAATTTTCATTTTTATTCTCAGCCTCATTTAGTCTCATTTCGCCCACAAAATACACAGTGAATTCTCTTTCAGTATATTCTGTGAAGCACTATGAGACATCTCGAAGACTTGATAAGGCGCTATATTAAATGCAAGGGTTATTTTTTATTCTCATCCTCGCTTTTGGTCCTGTGCCTATTACATCGAAATGTCTCCTAGCGCTTCTCCTAGTTAGTGGTTGTCAAGTGTAGTGACTGTGTGTTTTTGTAGGCAAACGCAATAGTCAATTTAATGATTCTACAATTGTTATTTTTGATACGCGGCCCATCCCACTGACAACCATGAAATGAAGGAGCAATTTGTCTGGATGATGATTGTTAGCCAGGAGGCAAGTGCGCGACTGACTGAATTAAGTGTAAAATTACATGATTCTGTGACGCATTGAAGCCAACAGATTCTGCCCATGCTGGTGACAACTCTCTTACTCGCTGATTATTTGCACTTGGGGCAGAAGTATATAAGGAGCAGCGATGGACTATTAGACTTACAATGAGATCTATGTTTGTGTCTCTCCACCTACCCCATAAAAGGCCACCGTATCAATAATGTGGAGTCCCGTAATGTAATGGTTAGAGCACGCGCCTCGCAAGCGAGAGGACCCGGGTTCAATCCCCGGTCAGGGCGAAACCTTAGGCAAGTTTCCTTACTGCACACGCCTCTGTTTACCCAGCAGTAAGTAGGAACCTGGTTGTTAGTTGATTGACGGATCGCTTTCCGGGGGTAATAATCCCTTCAAAAAAATGAATTAAAAAAATGTGTCACTCAATCACACCTATTTGTGAGACACCGCTGTGCGCAATTAGCTGCCATGTTTCACCCACTGGGTAATCAGTCAATCCACTTTAGAATATGCTCTGTGAAGCTTCTTGAGATGTCTCAACAACGTGATGAGGTGCTATGTCAAATGCAGGGATTATTATTATTGATAACCACAGAGGAATATAGGTCCTACATGTCTTAATATCTTACACCATACTGTAATATGAATTGACTGTGTATTTTTTGGGCAAAATGCAACAGCCAATTGTGCACAGCAGTGTCCCACCCACAGTCGTGGGTTGAACAACCAAATTAGTACTATTTATTTATTTTGAAGGGATTATTACCCCTAGAAAGGAAGCTTGCCTAAGGTTTCGCCCTGTCTGCGAATCAAACTCAGGTCCTCTCGTTTGCGGGCCGAGCACTCTAACAACTAACTAAGCAAGAGAGATATCACTAGGATGTAGTCTGCTGGGTTTAATGGGTCACAGAATCTTACAGAAAAGGAGACTTGTGCTCTGTGAAGCCATTCCACTCCTCAAACCTGTCCCCACAATCTTTACAAGTATTTGTTCAATTTCCTTTCAAAAGGAATTATTGTGCATCTTCAACCTCTGGTGTCTGATGGCTCTTTTAGATCCTTTGATGTTTGTATAATATGCATTCTTCGATTCGGTCTTAGTCTGGAATCAGCCTTTCCAGTTTGTACAAAAATGGCTTCAGAATTTAAGAATTTTTCACAATTCTGTCTGATCTTAAAAATAATAATTAATTCATAATAAGAATTTGGTCGCGCAATTGGCTGCTGCGTTTCGCCCACAAATTATAGAGTCAATCCACTTTACAATATATTCTGTGAAGATCTTTGAGACGTCTGGAAGACCTGATAAGGCGCTATATCAAATGCAAGGATTATTATTATTATTTGATGGCTGTTAGTGTGATTCCTATCTTTGTCTTGATAAGAAATGCCTATTCATCATCATCTTGTGATTCTTCCCAGCGACTCTGATGCAGTGAGAGAGCAGGCTGGGTCTCTGTGTCAGAGTCACTGTCTATTACTCTTTCTCCTCGGAGATTGGAGAGGAGCCAATGTAGCTTTAACAAGATCGAGGGAGGTTGGGATCAAGAAGGCCCTTCGGCCCATTTGATCTCATCGTTTCAAGTATCAGTCCTCCTGCCTTCTCATTACAGTATCAAGCCATTTGTTAAACAAGTCCCAATCTCCTGGCCTCTGCCACCCTTCCTGGTAAAACCTGCATTGAGTTCAACAGTTTGAGGAAGGTAAATTAACTTGCAAGCAGTTGAAATGACATCCCAGGTTAATGACATTACATCTGCTGATGCCAAGCTTGCTTGAGCTGCTTCTCTTTGTGTATCTTACCAGCTGGTTCCCCATCACCACTTCTCATGATACATTTTAAAGAATTTAATTGACGGTGGTAACTGATGGAGAAAGCTTGGCGCTGGAAACGTTTGGCAAAAGTTTCCTTGTTCCACACACTTGCGTCAGTTTACCTACCAGTAAGTAGGAACCCGATTGTTAGTCAATTGGCGGATCACTTTCCAAGAGTAATAATCCCTTCAAAAAAATAAAAATAAAAAAAATAATAATTTGGTCACTCAATCTACAGCAGCACTGTTTGTGAGACGAGTGCTCCAACCACTAAGTTGCAGGACTCGTGCTTTAGAGACCCATGCTTTATATGCTTTCTTCACAGAGACCCATACTTTATATAGCGACCTTTCAAAGTGACCACCGAGGATCCAACTGTGTGGAGAAGAGAAATAGCTTTAAGTTGTGGAAGAGAACTAGTTTTAGGTTTCGGACGTATAGTTTAAATCGGGTGGGAATGGGGAGGTTGATAAGAAAGTGGGGCATGACAGTGAGGAAATCCATGTGGTTCATGGTTGTTAAGTCAAAGTGGCCAGGTTCCAACCTCAGCATCTGTGTACAAAACCTAGTAAGAAGCACGATCTATTAGTTGACTCAATTGATGGTTTCAATGACCAGATATCAATTTGTTCTTTGGGAATTGAATCAATGTGTGGTGTCTCTTTCTCTCGGCTCCCTCTCCCCCTCACCCCCCTCAAAAAACAACCCTTTCTGGTTTGCCTTCTTCCATTGATTTCTATTTAAGCTTCTGAAGAAACTGCTAAACAAGCACTGGTGGCACATTGCTGCTGAATATCCAGGGGGCCTGCCACAGGCCGCAAAGTAATGCAATATTTGTTCAGAGCTCCCTGACATTTCAGGCCTTGTGGCTGTTTAGCCTTTTCCTCGTTGGCACGACTGGTCTGAGAGAAAGAGGGTTATATTCTGTTCTGTAAGGACCCTTCATGTCAGTCAGCAAACCCACTGAAGTCCAGGAGACCACAAACCTTTTGGCTTTCTTCCTTACCCTGTGGAACGTTGCAGTACAGCTATAGATTTTTCCCACTTTGCCAATAAATAATCCTTGCATTTGATATCGTGCCTTATCACGTCTTCGAGATGTCTCAAAGCGCTTCACAGGATACACTGTAAAGTGAATTGACTGTATATTTTGTGGGCGAAACACAGCAGCCAATTGCGCACAGCAATTAGTTTCCCTCTTCAGTGCTAATACGAATCCTGCCTCGACCACCATACCTTGGCAGTCAGTACATTCCATATTCCTAACAACTCACTGTGTAAAACAAAATCCTCTTAATCTTCTTTCCTTATTCTCTCCAATCGATGGCCTCCAGGCACTGACTCACCGAGCAGAGGAAGGAAATAGCTTCTCCTTATGTAAAGAAAAGCCACTCTGATGACAGGCCAGCCACCTTTTGATGAATTGTCTTGTTGCATTATTTGTGAAACTTGCTCCACTCACAGCGAGCACTTTTGGTGATAACTTTTTGCCATCACTTCTCCATCGCCATTCCCAGCCTCAGATATAATAATAAAAATCCTTGCATTTGATATAGCGTCTTATCACATCTTCTAGACGTCTCAAAGCGCTTCACAGAATATACTGTGAAGTGAATTGACTGTATTTTTGTGGACGAAACGTGGCAGTCAATTGCACACAGTAACGTCCCACAAACTGGCGTGGATTGAGTGAATGAATTATTATTATTTTTTGAAGGGATTATTACTCCGGAAAAGCGATCCGCCAATCGATTAACAACTGGGTTCCTACTCACTGCTGGTAAACGGAGGTGTGTGGAGTAAGGAAACTTGCACATGGTTTGGTCCTGCCCGGGAACCGAACCAGGGTCTCTCACATGCGCGATGAGTGCTCTAACCGTTGAGCTACGGGACTCCACAAGATATTGTGTTTCTATACTGAGCTAACTGTGCCATCTCACCGTGTAGTCGAGATCGATCTAAAACTTTTGTTGGAGTTATTTTGTATTCTTGTTAATATTATTAATAATAATAATCCTTGCAATCACATCGTTGAGACGTCTCAAATATGGTGTGTTTTCTGTCCTAGAGCCATAAAGAATGCCAAAGGACTGCACAGTAAGAGAGAGGTTCCTATCCACCGCGTGGCAGACATATCTGGGGTAAGTTATTTTGCTGATTGGACTTATTAATGCGTAATTGTAAAGAATGAGAGGCGACGTGGCATCTGTGTTTCCCCGAGTTTCTAAACCTGCGATTTTCAAAACTGCTCTGACGCCAGTGAACACTGCCTTTTTGTATTGTGTTGATAATGAGTGCGAGAGGCTGGAAACCCTCCTGACCTTAGCCTTTCGGACTATTGTGTCTTAAGTTGTAACATCTCACAATGATGGCGCATACTTCAATTTAGTCTACAGTTCTACAGTGTTTTCCACCATTCTGCACAGTCTTGAAGGTTAGACTCTGTTCTTACAGGAAAAGTTTCAGGCAGCACCTCTGAAAATGCAGCGTCTCTGTCCCTCCCCCCACACTGCCCAAAACTGCAGTGTTGGCCTAATCCGGGGAGGTCTAACCTTTTGGCTGCTGAGGGCCGGGTCGCCTATTTAAGAAATATTCTGTGGATCACATCAGCAATATTTTTGTGATCCAGAAATATAACATAACATTTACTGGTTATGGCGGGAGCAAGTGGGCCAGGTGGAATGGGGGGTGGTGGGCGAATAAGATCGACCTACGAGCTGCGTGTGGCCCGCAGGCCTCCAGTTGGACTTCCTGCTCTAAACTATGAGTTCAAAGCCCCCCCACACCGGGCTTGAGACTTGAAGGTGAGAGTGCAACAAACTGAGACAGGCTGACAAGTGAAGCTGTGGCCCAGGGTCAGAAGTGGAACCAGATGCAATGGGGGGGTGAGGGGGTAGTTTCCTGCCGATGTGACTCCATTGCTTTGCTTCACCGTTCCTCACGAAACACCGAAAGCACATAAATGGTATGTGTTGCTGTGGGTGTTGATTCTACTCGATCGTATTGATTCAGTTGGAAGCTGTGTGTATTGAACAGACTCTGTATTTGCAGTGCAAATATGAGCCGTGCCTACAAATGCGTGCATCTGGGCTTCAAGGCAAAAACTTTCTGTGTCGCCAGAGAAAGCAGGTCTGATATTTGCTGTGCGGTTATAGTAATCCCTGCATTTGATACGACGCCTACAGTAATAATCCTTGCATTTGGTACAGCGCCTTATCAAAGCGCTAAATTCACAGAATATACTGTAAAGTGATTTGGCAGTATATTTCACGGGTGAAACGCAGCAGCCAATTACCCCAGGAAAAGTGTTCCGCCAATCTACTGACAGCCGGGTTCCTATTTACTGCGAGGTAAACAGGCGTGTGGAGTAAGGAAACTCACCCACAACAACAACAACAACAAGATTCCATTTATAAAGCGCCTTTCACGTCAGGAGGACGTCCCAACGTTTCACCCTGCCCGGGAATCGAACCCAGATCCTCTCACTTGGAGGCGGGTGCTCTAACCAATACGCTGTAGGACTCCACAATGTTGAAACGTCTCAGAATGCTTCAGCGGGAGCTGTTAATGGGTGTGGTGAATGTGCTGTCGGCAAATGTGACAGCGTTTTGTTTCCTGGACATCCATGAAGTTGATGACCAGTTTATTATCTGAAGGATTGTTGGCCAGGAAACAGGGACAAGCTCCCTTCTCTTCCAATAGTGCCAACTTCAGTCTACAGACTGGAGGTCAGTTCAGAGTCTTACCTGAAGGACAGAGCCTCTGACAATGCTCTATTCAGTCTCAAGTTTGCTTCGCAAGCGAGAGGAGCTGGGTTCGATTCCCTGGCAGATCAGAACCTTTGGCAAGTTTCCTTACTCCACACGCCTCTGTTTACCTAACAGCAAGCAGGAACCCAGTGGTGAGTCGATTGACGTATCGCTTTTCCAGGGGTAATATTTCCTTCAAAAAAAAATTTAAAAATCAATCCACGGCTGTTTGTGGGGACGTTGCTGCTGCGTTTCACCCACAAAATATACAGTCAGTTCACTTCCCAGTATATTCTGAGACCCTGTGAGATGTCTCGAAGATGTGATAAGGCTCCATATCAAATTCAACGATTGTATGTTGGCGTTGTGATGGGGGCGGGGGGGGAGGGACACACAGCAAGCCAATGGTCATCTCTGACCCATTCAGCTTGCCTAGAGAAGGGCTTTCTCTTAACCTTATAGCTGAAGGAAAAATCTCTGTTCTTTGTCTGTTTGCCCAGCAGCTCAGGAACTGCTCTGGATGTTTGCTGTGAGAAGGGAAACTGAATCCTCTGCTATATAAATCTGTCTGCTCAGGGCATGAGAGGAGGGGAAGAAACACTGTCCTCGCTCGCTTTAACCTGCAATTTTTATTCTCTATCTCCCCTCTCTCTCTCTCTCTCTCTCTCTGTGAGCGTGCCCAACACTCCTCAACCAACCATTGCCCAGATTAAACCTGACACTGCTGTGGCCTGAAACTGTTGAACTCTTAAGTAGTGGAATTTAAAGGGATGCCTTTAAAATAATGGGAATTCAGGTGGGCTTTGGCTGTGTTCGTGATGTAGGTTAAGTGAATTTGACAGAATGCAGTTTGTTGAAGTGGATGAGAACTGGGGATTGATGCATTAGCATACAAAATAAATTCACATAACTGATATCTGAACTGAAATGGTAATGTGCTGTGGCACAGCCTCGAGTCCTACTGCACAGCCCCACAGCGATGTCCCAACACTTGGAGAGATCGTTCAGTCTGTGGGATCAGTCTGCGCCATCTTCGATCTTTTAAACCCATTTTCCTGGCTCTTTCAACATGTGGAGTCCTGTAGTGTAGTGGTTAGAGCGCTCGCCTCTCAAGCGAGAGGACTTGGATTTGATTCCCCGGGTGGGGAAACCTTAGGCAGTTTCCTTACTCCATCCACCTTAATGTAGTTACTTCCACAGTGGCTGTGGAAAGTCATCTTCCAAAGTTGATGCTAAGTTTATCTTCCAAAATGCACAATCTTAAATTTTAGCAATAACTCCTCCAAGCGCCATTCCCAGCCTCAGATATAATAATAATACTCCTTGAATTTGTTACAGTACCTTATCACATCTTCGAGACGTCTCAAAGCGCATCACAGTAAAGTGAATTGACTGCATACATTTTGCGGGCGAAACGCGCACAGCAGCGTCCCACAAACAGTTGTGGATTGAATGGCCACATTTTTTGTAAACCGTTGACCTTGAGACTGTGACGGGGTGGAAGTTTGGGGCCTTTGCTGTATATCCGTACAGATTGGCAACTTGTTCCACAAAGACCGGGTGATCCACATTTGATTAGATTGTGATTAATCCAGTAATGATCATTTGTGCTGCACGGTTTGTGGCTGCACATCGATGTGTGACTCTTCACTACTGCAATTCATGGTTCCTTCTGTCAATATATACCCACGTGATATTTGTTTGTGCAGATGCCAAATGTGTAATTAATTGGAAAGTGCGGAAATAATTGAGTGAACCTCTGGTGACTGGAGTTGTGAGCCCCTTTGTCTCCTCGCAAACCTCACAATAATAATAATAATAAGCCTTACATTTGGTATAGCGCCTTAGCACATCTGCAGGGGTGTTGGGGTAAGAGCAGGGGAGAGGGACTAGTTGGTACCTCTTTCAAAGAGCCGGCACAGGCACAATACAATACAATACAATACAATACAATACAAAATTAGATTTGTAAACCGCCTTTCACGTCGAGAGGACGTCCCGAGCGGTGGTGGGGGGGATCAGGGAGGGCAGAGGGCATTGGAGAGTCGAAGACACGATTGAAGAGGAGGGTCTTGAGGCGAGCCTTGAAGGAGGCAAGGGAGCGAGGCAAAGGGAATATGGAATGGAGTTCCAGAGGTTGGGAGCAGAGACTGGTGGGGCGGGGTGGGCCGGGCGGGGGACATGCAGCAGGCTGAGCGGAAGGAGCGGACGGGTTGATAAGGACCGAATGGCCTCCTTCTGTGCTGTAAGATTCTATGACTCTCTGAATCTAAATCTGACAAATACAGAACTCCCCTGAGTGCTTAAAAGCTATCAATTCACAGCGAGGTAACTGCCAAGAGCTTCCTGTTTAAAATTATATGAGCCTGTGAATAAGATTATTGGCTTGTATTCACTGTGTGGCTGGTATTTGTTTCTGGAGAGGATTGTTTTATGAAAAATGTATTCAGCGCTACGGTTCCCACAGCCCAGGGCCAAACACATAGCAATTCCTACTAATGTCACTCTGTACCAGAAACACAGACACGGGCTTCGCACCTTCCTAAAGCAACACAGCGGAGAACAGCCTATCTGTGAGTATGTAATAATAATACTTGCAATTGGTATTATCACATCGTTGAGACGTCTCAAAGCGCTTCACAGGATATACTGTAAAATGTAGTGACTGTGTATTTTGCAGGCCAAACGCTGCTGCCAATTACGCACAGCAGTGTCCCACAAACAGTCGTGGATTCAGTGAACAATTTTTTATTTATTTTTTTGGAGGGATTATTACCCCCAGAAAGCGATCTGTCAATTGGCTAATAACCAGGTTCCTACTTACTGCTGGCAAACAGAGAGAGGAGTGTGGAGTAAGGAAACGTGTCTAAGGTTTCGGCTCATCCGGGAATCAAACCCGGTTCCCCTCGCTTGCAAGGCGAGTGCTTTAACCAATATGCTCCAGAAATGTGGTGTGGTGTGTGGGGGGGGGGGGGGGTAGGAACAGAGGGTGAAATTATATGAACGAGAGAAAGAGAGAGAGAGGGGGACTTGGCAGCAGTGCCTGGGTATCTGCCAGGAAGGATCCATAACTCAAGAGTTAGAAAGTTTATTTGCAGCTTTGGTTGGTAGTTAACTTGAAGGTTCTTTATGTGTGTGAGAGAAAATGGGCCCGGAAACTGGATGCCTCCTGTGGATCAGCCCTTAATAGTCTGGCTGCTGTAAAAGGATCAACACGAGTTTAGTGCGTGCAGCGAGCAGGGTCTAAATCAAAAGTTGGACCATTGCTGAAAGGACAGCATCAGAAATTGATTGTATCTCCTTTCCTCGCAGGTCTTGGCCTTTTCTGTGTTGTTGTATCTATCCCCTGTAATGCCAAAGATACTTCATCATCCCAGGAGCCCTGCAATGAA